CTTTTTATCTCCAGTTGACACCCCCACCCTCACCCCCTCTGCTACTTTATGTCCTCTTTTTCTCTCGCCCGTTAAAAACATTTCCTCTTTTCTAATTCACATTTTCCCCTCTCCTATCTTTCTCTCCAAGAGGAACTAGTAAAAAGAGAGTGCGAGACAAGGCAGACTCAAATTGATGCGCCCTATCGAGCAGTCTGATGACCCATGAAGCAGCCAAGATGCAGTTATGTAGTTAGGCATAGTTTGCTCGTTTCTGTGATTTTTTTCTTGGGCTTTGAATTGATTCATCGCTACTTTTAAAGAGACGCAACGATAATTTTACATTCGTTTGGACTATGAGCTTTTAATGGAAAGAGCTCTTGGGTTTTGGTGAATGGGGTTTTGGAAGTTCGTTGCTACCAAATTCACATAACAATGGGCTTGTAGTTGAAATTTGGCATGACATGATACCTAGAAGTGGAAAAATGTTTGTTTTTGCAGATTTTTGGAACAATGGGCTTGTAGTTGGAATTTGGCATGACAGAAAAATTTTTTTTTTTTCAAATCTTCAGAAAAAATGGTCACCTGGGCTTGTAGTTGGAATTTGGCATGACAGAATTTTTCTTTTTTTTTTTCAAATTTTCAGAAAAAATGGTCACCTTTGTTTTGATTGTTTTTAGGTTTTGGAGCATAGAGAGTGAGTTGGGATCCTATGAATGGTTTCATAAGAGAGAGAATAGAGAGGAATAAGTGGGTGGTGGGATTTGTGAGAGAAGATACAACACGATATTTTTCTCTTTCTCCCTTGGGCATTACTGGTTATATAAGCTCTTGTTTAGATAAAGCAACACCTCTCTTGAGATGGGACATGGTTCTCTCTTTTGACGTATTATCTCTTGCACATTTTTTTTTCTTTTGGGTAAGTAATTATCTCTCGCTCTGATAAAGGAACAAAGAGGGATACCTTTAGAGAGAGCGAGAGAAAGAAAGGAGTTTGTGAAGGGAGAGATGGAATGATGCAGGGAGAGTGATTGGGGGCCATAGAGAGAGTAAAGTGGGATATTAGAGAGAGATTGGGGGCTAGTGGAAAAAGAACAAAATCTGAGTGAAAAGAGATTGGGGGCTAGTGGAAAAAGAACAAAATCTGCGTGAAGAGAGATTGGGAGTTTGTAGGGGAGCAAAATGAGTTTTTCTAAAAGAAAGAGTAAAACAAACCCTTTACACCACAATACTGTCTATTTAAAATACACATGATTATTCCCTTGAAAACAATATCGATTTATTCATCTTCCCGAGTTCGTCGTCTGCGACCATTCCATGTTCATTATCTGATGCACCTCATTTAAAACCTTCCCACTCACTACCCAACTCTGAAGACATCAAGGCAACTCTCATTTCCACCAACCTCCTCAACATAATGTAGTGATTCCCAAACCTCGTTTTTTAGCTTTGAGAAGTACTTGGTAGAATGGGTGCAAAAAATGTGAAGGCATCTTCTATGATTTTGAATGTACTTTATCAATGCTTTTACCTGATTGCAATGCTTTCGAATGAAAGTAAAAGATGGGATTTTTTTTATTTTTATCAACAATATCTTTCATCAAAAGACTTAAAGTATGAGCTAAGCAACCCGACCAAAAAATATAAGAATATGGTGTTGAATTATAGCGCATGCACCTTTGTAATTGACTGCATTGTCAGTTACAACTTGGACCAGATTATAGGATCCAATTGACTCTGTGGATTTCAACAATAATTTGGCTGGCCTTTTCAATTGATGGGAAATCAACAATGTTAATGAACATGCTCTTCCCACCTTATAAGGCCATGACATTAATCAGAAACTCATTCTTAATATTACTCTAACCATTTGACACAACAAAAACACTATAAGTTCCCCACTTATTCCTACCTGCACCTAATGCCTGATCAATCCTACTTCTTTCTTTGTCAAGCAATGTTGTCCTTATGCTTTCGTATTTGGGTGCCACAAAGCCTTTCGGGGCATGATTAATAAAGTAAATCATTTTATGAAACCTCAGTTCCTTCGCAACATTGAAAGGAATGTAGTGGGTATAAAAGAACTGAACAATTGCAAGATCCACATCATCTCTTGCTTGGATATTAAACAGAGGATTCTAGTTTGGATATTAGTCTTCTTTTTTTTTAATTAGGTTTTGCACTAATGATGGGAACAACGGTGTATCCACTGAACACCCATCGTCATTTCTATTTTGGCTTTGTCTCCCATACAATCTATGCACTTCATCATCTTCAAATTTTAATGCCGCTCGATCTTCTTTAGATATATTGTGGCAACGTGATACCCCCTTAGACCCCTTAACAAGGGACACTCCCAATTGATGCGCTCGTGTACATACATAGGACCTAGAAAAAGGTACTGTTGAAATTACATATCCACTTCTTCGTTCCATCCGAACTTTTTCCATAATTACCTATAACTGTCGCATACTTCCACAGTAGAGTGTTAGTGGGCTCTTCGACTTCATCTTCCAACACCTCAGTTGCATTATCAGACCCAAAACAATCAACATACTCCTCGTCCATATCAAAACCAAAATCCAAAGTTCCCTCTGAACGTGGGTTTTGAAGCATAGTTAATTTTAAGTGGAACATTTTTTAAAAATCAACTAAATAAAAAATATATCCATAGGGTATTTTATCTCTAGGGTAAAATATCTATAGGGTAAATAAATAACATTTTATTTTCTCTTATACCAAGCAGCTGGAAATAAGCCCCTGCTATTATGGCTTGTTATGATTGGGGCATTGGCCACTGCTGTTGACGCTGCTCGAGCTCATCATGCAAAGGAGAAGCTCGTCGTTTAGGTTGGCAGCAAGTAAGCAGGTGGAATATAGGCCTCCAAAAGGGGTATTAGAGGAAGACAATGTGCCGATGTTTGTAATCAAAGAGGAGATGACAGAGGTAGTTGTTGGGGAGGAAAATGATGTGCCGAGAATTGTAATCGAAGAGGTAGTTGTGGGGACGAGACTGATATGCTGGTGATTCACCATTGAATGTTTTACTGCCTATTAAAGAGGAATAGGAAGTTGCCATGCACATCGAAGCAATCATGGAGGTGAAACATGGTGGCTGACCAAGAGGCGGAGATAGTAGCAGCAGAAGAAGAGCAATATGACTTGAATGAGGAAAAGCATGATGCGCGAGAGTAAGGAGCCGGTATCAGTATTGGCGATGTTGTGGGTTTTGACTTTGATACCCCAATTGGGGTGGTTTATCAAAGAGAATCTGGCTAAGGCGAACAAAGCAGGTTATAATAGCCAAGATGAAAGAGACATAGGAGGACACGAGCCTGTGTGGGGAGGTTCAGGGACAGAGACCAAAAGGTTGGCCCCAACCGTTGTGGCTGCTAGGGTTCGGGACATGGTTCCCTGTCTTTTGTTGGTGTAGATTTTGTAGGATCTTCTGCTCGTTTATGGTTTTTTGGGACCCTACTTTCTTGAACTGCATGAATGTTAAAGGTGGTAGACCTGAGTATGTAATTTTTGGGCGCCCAATTTCTGGTTTAACGTCTACCGACCTGCCAAAAAACTTCTTGTTTATTTTGCGTAGTAATCAGTAATCCTAGAGTTTCCATTTCTTTTTCATTTCATCTATTTCGTTTTATTTGAATCATCAATCCTTCAGGCATTTTCTTCAACTTAGTGTCTTTCTTGGTGGTCACACTACATCGCATTCGATTTTAGTTTTTTAGTTTTTTTTCTTTTTTTGGTGCACGTCTATGATATTTTTGGAGTTGTGGCTATATTATTTTAATTTATTTTCTTGTTCGATTTGAAATCAGGGTGTTTGTAAGCAATATTTCCAATGTTATGCAGGTGCTTTTTTGTTCTTTATTGCTCTAGAGCAATGCATCTGATTTTTTCTTTCTTGAACATATGTTTCCCTCTGTTTTATTTTTTTAGTTTTTGGTTTGTTCTTTCCATTCTTTGTTAAAAGAACCCACTATTCTTATCTTTCATGGGTGATTTATTCACACTTACCATAACCATTTGGTAATAAAATTTTGTATTGATTAGTCTTGATTGAATTTTTTTTCTTGTTCTGACTGTGTTGGTTCTATCTGGTAGATATTCTTTCTTCTTTTACTTTTGCCTTCTATTGGTTTGACATCTAATAGAGATTAAATATTTTGAGTATGTTTTTTATTTATTTTCATAGTGTTAATAACCAATCAATACATGATGGTTCTGGGCTATTTTTTCTTGCAATGTACATTCATTTAATTTGGTTATCCCAATGAAGTTTGTATTTCTAATATGGGAAATGACCTTTTGCGTCCCTAACACACCGATAGCTTCATAGGATCCCACTTGCTTGTCGTCGGGTCCTTATTATGGATTATGTACTTTTCCTGGGGAGAGATGTTGTATAGAAGAATCTTTAATTTTCTCTTCACAGGGTTGGTTTTGGGGTTAGTTTTATTTAGGTTTCTTGAGAGAGAGGGGTTTAATTGAGACCTCAGAGAGAGAGAGAGAGAGGGATGGTTATTTGATGCTTGAAGCCCTGTAAACTAAATTAGTCTCTCTCTCTCTCCCATATGATAAAGTGATGAACCCTCTCTCCCGTAGTCCCATGTAATGAACCATTTCTAGCAGGAAAGAGTAGTTCCTTTTGATTAGTGTAATATGATTCATCCTATGGTTCAGATTACACCTTAAGTTAATGAATAATTTTTTCTTCAGTTATATCTATGGCTCTTATTGGTGTCATTGTTTTCTAGCCATGCGGCTAGGTTGAAGTGGTTATGGGGTTTCGAACCCGATTAAGTTTGGTTCTCGAGTACACACAAGTACGAATTCTATAGATGCTTGGGTTTTAAAGTGTAGGCTTAGAGAGAGATTGGATTAACTGGATTTGGACTTTAGAAAGAGAGAGAGAATATGAATGGGAACCAAAATATTGTGCCAAGGCCTAAAGTTGTACATTAAATCAAGAGTTGATTCTTTGTTTGACACTTTGACTTGATGATGAGATATTTCCAAACCTTCAATAACTCATTACTAAACTCGATTATGCCATACATAATTAACTTACTTAACACAGTTTCAGGGTCATTCTTTGGCCCTGTGTCACACATGTATAATTACGTTATTTTTAAACTTCTCGACTTACAATCTCTCAGTGGATCGTTACATTCCATACTTAATGAACATAATCCACTTGATTTTTTATTGGTCAATAGTTGCAAAAAAGATGACTAAAAGATAATTGCATCTTGTAACATGAGATTAGGAGTCCAGCATGAGAAATTTGTTACTTCGGGGTTGTAGGCACTGCTTCTCCTGAACAAAAAACCAAAATGGTTGACAAAGAAAACATATTCTCCAAATAAAAAATATTATTAAAAAAATCATAGTGGAAAACAAACATACAGTGTTATGTGCCTTGTGATAATGAGGGTGACGATGTGGAATACTCGAGTCTTAATGATCAAAGGACCATGTCCTCTTGATTCTAAACTTCAAATGGTCCGACGTCCTAGTTATAATTGCCTGTGTTACCTGCAAAAGACATTAGAGTCGTACATGTTCAGTTCTTCAAAACTCTATTTGAATTTGAAAGTTTATTCGAGTTGCAAGTATCGGCTAACTATTTCAACTTTCGAGCACCCATAGAGTACATTGCATAAACAAGTCCTACAATTGGGTTTCCTAGTACCTGAAATCAAAATCCATGGATATTTGAGATGAGCTTACACATACAAAGAATCACAAATTTGTGCTTTTTCGAACAACAATATTTGATTTCCTGGAATCAGGATTCCGCACTAATTCAGCTCGAGATTTCATGGAGGTTGAAGCAAGATTCCATATTGACTGAATCTTCCCTACTCCTATGAACCGATGTACCATACATTGTAGTTTCTAGATTCAAAGCCCTAATGAATGGGATTCATTACATGCGAAAACGGCTATCATTCGATGTGGAATCAAGATTCAATCTTTGTTGGAATATAAATTTGGGAACGACATTCCATAAATAATGGGTTCAAGATCCTGAAGACATATTGAAACGAGATTCCTAAATTAAGGAATCAAGATTCCTTGGATCCAAGAAACAGTTTCAGTGAAGATTCATTAACGGAATTGCTGAATTGGTTTTCTGAATCAGAATCGCAGCCTTGGCAAAAGAGATTCTGATAACTATGGTACGTACTTACATATTTTCCTTGCAATAATAAAGATGAAGTGCAGTCATTTTGCATGCCAAGGGCATGCTGATGTATGGACAGCATTTAGGGGTACTCAGGACATTCGAGATGTCCTTGAAGCTATTCCTTCCATGGCAAAATAATCATTTAATCTTGCTCAAAACAATTTCCAACTTCCTAATTTTTTCACATGTATCAAATGAAACTCCTTCGTATTGAAGAACTTCATGCTTCAGAAAGACATAAGAGTTGCTATTAAACAGTTCATTGATTCCATCCTGTACCTCATCAACAACGTCGATAGAAAGCTCCAAGGAGCATCATTAGGTACCCTTCCATTTCCAATCTATTCTTTGTATCTTTTATCTCCGTTTCAGTTCCTCTCATACATTTTGGATTGGAATTATCATTACTTTATCATTCTTCCCTGGACTCTGTTATTTTACGAAACTGAACCCTAACAAAGAACTTGCAAGCATGAGGAACTCCATCCAAGCGGAGCTTGATGAGTTTGAGCAGAATCATATGTGGTATGTTGTGTTTCTCCCATTAGTTAAGACCCTAAACAGATATACCTGTGACTTCAGAGCGTAAACAGGGGTAGCCAGCTACCACTGAATGAATAGCCCTGGGACAAGGAACCACCCTGTACCAACATACTGGGCAGGGTTGGAAACTTGGACGTGTGGGAGACGAACACAACTGAATGTGCGGCGCATTGGTATATGGTTTTCTTCATCATTATATTGCAACACACATGACCAAAGATAAGTACAAGAGTATCACAATGATTATGAGGAGAACTCTTCCGTCTTAAACAGATGGCAGGCTCATTAGCTCACCACTGTGTTAGTCTTCCTCTTTATTGTTACATCTTGTGGTTGAGAACACCACGTTGAACATATTTTTCTGACTTTAATCTTCAATTTAAAAAAGCTATCTGGTCCCACCAAGTGTTGAGGATATCATTTGAGTATTTTAGAGTGTATGTGCTTTCATACATTGTCGAGCATTCAAGTAGCAAAGTATTACACTATTTTTTCTGTTATGATAGAGTTATATTCTTGTTTATGTGAATGACACCATTGATGATGATGTAATTATGTAACACCTAAAGCAGATGTCACAAGATCATTTTCAAATAAAAACATGGAGCCATTTCATACTTCTTATATAATTAGTCACCTGGAGTCATAATTGTTAATAGAAGCACAGACAGTCGCATCTGACCAGAGGTCACTCTTTTGTGTAATTTTTCCCTTTTATTCTTTGACATGTCAAGATAACTAGGTCATCTAGATAGTTGATACTCCATGGAATTTACTAGTAAACTGTACACTGATAATGGCTATCCAGTAATTGGAAAATTGATCCTACTCCACACAGCTCATCCTTTAATGCTTTATGTTAAGTAGGTTCAAGAGAACCAACCTTTTGCAGCCTCTGAGATATTGTGGGTGATCAATTGGTCTCATCAAATTTTGTTATCTAGTCTCTCAACAGTTACTTATCACCTAGGAAGAGTTGAACCTGACATCCTATCTAGCTACTTTTGTTCTCTCTCTCTAGTCCCTTCTCCTATACTTAGCAGAAACCAATAGTGGAATAAATTTTCTTGTGTGTATTTTATTTCATTTTATTTGTAGTTCGCCAAACATTTATACAGAATTGTAGTTCCCTGTCACACTTATAATGGTAAATATTTACCCTATTCTACCAGATCAAGATAACACATCCTGCCATTATTCTGCAATGAATATATATAATTGACTTACCAGATACAGGAATCTTGAAATGATCTGTTCCTTGAATGGAAGCACCTTCTTTCTGTAACATTTTCTACATAGACCCACTCTCATCCCTTTTATCAACTCCATATGGATATATGTCTATGTCCTGTTCAAGTAGACAAGCAGAAAGCAGCAACATGGATTGTCCTTCCCTATGCTGCACCATGATTTCCTGTTGATGAGCAGAAACCCCATGAGTCGGTAATATGTTCTTAATCAAGATTAACAATTGTGGGATGCAAACTCAAGGCACGAGAGGAGTATGATGCACTATGTGCCTCAATGCGGTGTGAATCACTTTGATGGGGAAATTAATATAGATTAAAAAGAACTATAAAATTTCGAAGACTACAAAGAATAAGATGAATATGTGATTTATGTGATAGTAGGCATATATATAGTAGTATTTGTCCCTAACGTATATGTTGTATGAGCTGATGATAGAGAGTAAGGGAGACATTTTCTCTCTCTATCCTCTAACAATGATTAACATGTAAAATAAAATGATCCAATGAAATCATTAAACTCAATAAAACATAAAGGAATATGTACTATACCAACCAAGCACCAACAAATAGAATAGCATTCCCCTAAGTGCAGGATAGCATATACCCAAATACTAAGACTCCAAAGAACTTCATAAGTACATCCAAGAAACAAAAGTTCATGACTTAAAAAAGGAAACAAATTTCGATTTCTTGGTTTAGTTTTCCTTGGCTCCTTGGCCCTTGAAACCCTTCATAACTAAAAAAACAAAAAAAAGAAGTCCAAAATCCTTCAAAAATGTAGCACAAGATCAACTTGATGTTTGCTGCAAACTTCAAAATAACACAAGACATCGACTTTCAAAAGCTTTACTGGGGTAAAATGACATTTTTTGCCCTTGCTTGTGGGCATCATTTCCACCACGAGTTTGCATTTGCAGGTGCATCGCATAGGGCGATACACCCACATATGAGGACTATGCTCGACCTAGGCGGGTGCATCATGTAAGCCTGCCTAGGAAGCCACATGCGCCACGGCTTGATGCGGCCACATAACGTGTCATGCATCCACATCTAATAACCATGACGTTAATATTATGACCCATTTGAATAGTTGACATTTATTTCAGAATAGTTTCATACTTGAAATTCAAGTGTGAGGATGGGCTAAAATCAAGAAGGTTAGTCACTCCTTATTTGAATGCTCAAACTGATTATGGAGGACCTACATCATTCAATCATAAATTTTCTTGTATGTGAGGATTGATTCTTCTGATCTTCCTTTCACCCAAAATATGGATGCCCAGGTTTTGTGGTTTTAAATGTCATTTCTTTATTGATGCAAGTGTGTGGACCCATACCTCAATTAACTTCCACAACAAAATAACAATAGGCATACCTGAAGGACGTATGTTTCTTACTTCTGATGTGGGGGGAGAACTGGAGAACTAAAATGCACAATCATTGTAGGACAAGCAGGAAGAGTATCTTAGACACAATACTTATTGCAAATGGGTTATCAGTTAGAAGAGTGATAGAAACATCACACTCTCACGGTCTCACCATCCATCATGTCATGAGACAGCGAAGGCCCAAATGGACAATGCTTTTTCTTATTCCATTAATTGTAGTACTATTGCCATATATATATAAACATAAAAAATGTCTAAAAAATTACACTTATCTCTTTGACATTTAACGATGATATATAAAAAGATAAGGTCATGTAACTAAACATATCACTTGCATAGTGACAGAGAAAGGAATATCAAGATAAAACACACAGCAGGATAACAATGAGTAATCCAAAACAAAAACTTTGATGGACCATACCTTTTCAAATGCTTGAGAAAATGAGAAACTTCGCGGAATCCATGACAAATGTTTGGTATAACCAGGCAGAATACATAAAGGTAGCCATGAATGTATTTCATTGACTCCTCCCAGCATCTTCAAGAATGTCAAAGGAAACTTTTATTGAATCCTAATACCCACTCCAAGATCAGAGGGACTATGGATCATTGGAGTGCCACCATCTTCTATAAGAGCATTTACATCTGAAGAAATACGCCTTTCTTTGTACATTTTGCATAATAATTCTAGCAGCAAACCATAATGCTTATCAGAGGGACTTCGACACGTTCCTTTTCGAACCATTTCTCTCAAAATCCTAAAAGCCGAGAACATATCAGCTATGCTAACGAGAGAATCTATTAATGCCACATAAATAAAGGCATCAGGATCGAAAGCCTTGGCTTCCATCTCATGGAAGTGCTGTAAAGCTGTACTAGCTCTTCCACACTTACATAATCCATTGACTAGGGCCATGTAAGCTATTCTATTAGGGGTACGTCCCTGATCTATCATTCTATTCCAGAGCACTGTGGCATCATCAGCTCTCTCCTCATTGCAGAACCCATCTATCAAAGTGGTGTATGCGATCACATTGGGAGGCCTCCCTTGAGCTTCCATTTTAGAAAAACAAAGAAGTGCCAATTCAGTCCTATTGGCCTTGCACCACCCATTTATCATCAAGTTATATGTAACCACAGAGGGAACGAGCCCCTTCTCCAACATTTCGTTAATTATGCCTTGGGCCTCATCAACTCTTCCTTACAAAACCCATGAATAAGTACGTTATGAGCAACTACATCAGGAGCATACCCATGGGCATGCACGTCATGAAATAGTTTAAGAGCATGATCCAATTCCTCTATCCTACAAAGGCCGTCAATGGCTGCCGAATATGCAATGACATTAGGTAGGAAGCCGACCTCTTCCAGGTCACTTAAGAACTGACATGCTTCCATGGCATTGCCACGAGTGCATAGCCTCTTCAAAAGTATGGTATCATGTTTTATCCATGGGGTGTGCCCATGATGTAGCATTTCTCTCATCAAATCAAGGACATCAGACACCTTTTCCTTTCTGCACAAGCAACCAAATATTGAATTGTAAGTGAAGTGGTTTGGCTCAAGACCTAAACCCCTCATTGCTTTCATAAGTTTAAAGCTTTCCTGAAGTCTATCAGCATTACACATCTCATGGATCAAGTTATTGTATAAGAGCAAGTTTCCTATGCATCCATTTGCAGCCATGTCATGCAAGAGCTCTAGGGCCTTATCTAGTTCTTGGTACTTGCACAAACCATCAATAACAATACTATATGAATCCGAATTTGGTATTACAGCTTTCTCAAACTTAAAAAGGTTTGTAATATACTCTACCTCTTCATTGTCACTAGCACATCCAGCTATCTCTTCATCTGATAAATTATTGGAAGCTATCATTTCCTGGAGAAGCAAATAAGCTTCATTTACCTTGCCGCCATTAACAAGACCCTCGAGAACTGCATTATACAGAGATACAAAGGGGCCAATGCTCAATTTGTTTCCGTCTTGTAACAACCAAGATGCAGCAACCAGATCCCCTTCCTGGCAATATGAGGAAATCAGCTTTGTCAAGATGGAATATCTGGACAGAGTCTGGAATCTTTCATCTGATGATACAATTCCAAAGCTCTAGCATACTCCTTACTGTTACATAGCCCCTCAATAAGAACCATGAAGAGAGGTACATCCCTATCAAACCCGAGCCCTTTCATCCAGTCAAAAAGCACAAGTGCCTTGTCTATTCTGTTTTCCTTAGTGAACCCGTGAATCAGAATACAGTACGTCTTCTCATTCAGGTCCATCTACATCCCTCTCATCCTCTCGACGAATTCAAAAGCATGATCAACCTCACCCAACTTACTCAACCCAACAATCAATATAGTAAACACATGTGGATCTACCCATCCTTTCCCTCTTATCCTCTCAAAAATATCAAACCTTTTATCGAATTTCCCCGAGTTACAGTAAGCTTGCAAGACAGCTGTATGAGTAAACTTATCAGGCTCCGTCCCACTATGAATCATCTCTTTGAATCTTGATTCTACTAGCTCGCACCACTTCGATTTTGCTAAAGCTTCTAACAAACAATTGAAGGTATAAGAATTGGGTTCACAAGTCAAATCACAGGCTCTTTCAAAAACATAATTGGCTTCTTCAGCTAAACACACATTGCCCAAACGCCTAATCAAGTAACCTAAAGCACCAGGACTCATTGAACACCTCTGAATCATAAAATCTTTCACAAGGGCTTTCAATGGAGTTCTCTGGCCCGACCTCAAGAGTATACAGGCCATCGAATTATAGGTGTAACAGTTGTGTTTATACCCATCTTGTTGCCCAATCCACAAGAAAAACTCATAGGCTTGACCCCATTTTTGAAAACCTTTAAGAATGATCTCTACAGTTTCAGTGGTGAGAAAGCTTTGAAGCTTTCTCAATTCATCTCCACTCCTATGAAACGAAGGCTTGGAGAAGAGAGAAACGGCAGTTTCTACTGGGCCTGGGGTTTTGGGTATAGAGGGAAAAGGTACTGGCTCTCCACCTTGATCTTCATGGGTTTTACCAGCGTGTAAATGAAGGAAATAAGGGATCAAATGGAAAGAGAAAAGCGAGTTTGCAGAGAAGAAACGGATAGTTTTGAGGTGTAAGGCCATGAAAAGAACCAGAGAGCTTGCGTACCAGGAGAGATGGAATCAACTTCTAAATCAGAGAAGCTTCTTCTCCAATAAGGACAGTCAGAAGGGAAGAACATCAGCTAAAAAATGGGGGTCTTCCCCATTAATGAGCATCTCTCTCTCTGTCTCTGTGGGTTCTTCATAAGGGGATTAATCTTCCGCCATTTCCCGTAACTGTATTTCCTGTCCGTTCTCCTCCATGTATGGAAGTTGTAGCAAAGTATTAGGCCTCTACACATGAAATTGTCGCCCACTAGTGCAGCCACCATTCCTGCAAGTGCAAGAACTTATATTCCATCTACGTTCCCAATTCGCATCTACGTTTCATACACAGGAAAGTATTTTCTGCGTGCGCGTTACTTTGTTTATTTAGGGCCTCAGCCGTATACAAACCACCCCCATTTTTTTTAACCTGCATAAAAATTTGGCAAACGATTTTATGCTCCTACAGGAGTATACTGTTGATTTACTCCCTCAGATGAAACTCAATATTGGAGTAATTTTGTGGACGTGATGCAACCTATTCAACTTTTAGACTAACCTCTATAAAAAGGAATTTTGAATCGAACTCTCTAGATTCCAGAGAAAAATAATGTCTCAAGATTAGAGAGAGGCCGTTTGAAAGGCTAGATCCAAGATCAAAATTTTAATTTTTTTCTTTGTAAATAATCTGAAAAAATTTCCAAGCAGATCTTTTAACTGAGGAAGTAGTTGCACAAATGCTGTTGCGGTGGCGTAATATATGCGTTCTAAAATGGTGTGGTTTGTATACAGCCAGGCCCTAAACAATCAAAGTAAAGCATACCTTCAAATAGTATTGAAAGATATTGTTTCAATGATGAAAATCTTTGTAATGGCTTAAAATTTATTTTCATCTTTAATCATAAAATTTAAAGGTTAAAAAAAATGTAGTTTGAGCAGAGATCTATGTACACTTGAGAAACTTAAAAATTGAGAGTCTAAAAACACATTATAAGATGCGCTATTTCTAAGACTTGAAATCTATTTTTTCCCATGTCTATATATATTAAGGTTGAGATGATCAATTTAAAGATTTTTTGGCATCGAAAAACCTTTTTTATGTGAATTTTTTGAGAAGCGCCTTAATTTGATTGTTTAGGGCATCACCCTTATATAAACTATTTCCAAAAAAAAAAAGGATTCTCATAAGGTAACATATTAGTGCTGAAGTGGCCTTTGTTCTAGAGACATGGCAATCGAGGGAGAGAGAATAACAACAATAAGCATGTTTGTTTAGCACTAAAGTAATCCTTTCCTGTTGGATTACTGTTTTTTATATTTGTTTTTTTATGGAAAGTGTTAAAAAATGTAGCCGCCGTAAAAACAATTTCTCAACTTTTAACATTATAAGGTACCGAGGTTCGTGTTTCCGTCAGTGTTTGCAAAACTAGCCGATCTAACCGTTAACCGCCAGGTTAGATGGGCTGGTGCTAGTTCTACGCAGTTTTGGTGATCAACTGGATTTTTAAATTTTAAATAAATAATACTCCGCATTGCATTAAATACTTTAGATTGTCGTGGTGGTTAAAGTTTATAAGGACCATGGTTCAAATCCCGTAGTTGGTTCTTGTTGCATATTACATTCGTTCAGCGGTTTTACTTTTTTTATTCATTACATTGGTTCAAAAAAAGTACTTATCCACAGGAATTCATTACATCGATTAAAAAAAATTACTTACTCACAACTTGAAAGTTCTTGTAAAGAAATCATTGTTATTAAACCCACTAACCACTACACCATTTACTATTTAGTTGCCTATTAGACTCACTAATCAATAGCCATTTACTACGTACTTACAAAAAGAAATGATATATATTGTATATAACTTAATTTTATCTTCATTTTTTTTTTAAAAAAAGAGATGGTCATGTCGATTTTTTAATGCTATTTTAATATTCTTTTCATTATGGTAAAGATTAAAAAAAAAATTGGTCATTGTTACTCACTTTCATATTTTCTCATATTTTTCAAAAAATTTTAAAAATATCTCTAGGCACAAATCGATTCATTAAAATCCATTTTTTTCATTATTTTTCAACTTTATTTGAGTGTGTTTTATTTTAATCACATTCTTTATATACTTTTTATATTTTAGTAGATTTTTTTTTGTAACTTTTTTATTTTTGAACATTTTTTTGATCGTTCAGGACTTGCTCGGTTAGAGTGGTTGAATCAGCTAGTTTACCGGTTAGACCGGTTAAATTGCTTTCGTGCTCATATCTGGTTAACCGTTCCGGTTCGATTTTACGAACATTGGTTCCACTTATTTGGGTAGGAAGCATATATTTCGATGGAAAAGAGCTTTTTCATGCTGATGGGAAAGCTCTTTTGGCAAATAAATTTTCGGAGGTCTCTGGGAATCACTTTTACGAGAAGTATCCATCTCTTGGCCTATATTTTATTGTTATATCGCTAATAACAACCCTTAGATTTCTATAAAAATCAAGGACAATGAGTAATCAAATTCAGATAGATTATTTTTTCTCTTTTATTTTTTCCTTGTGCCTTTATTTGCCATGAAACAAGGAAATGAGTGACTGGGAGATTCCACACCGATACTTTTAGGTTCCTCTTAGCTTTATTCACTTAAAAGCCATAATACGAGGGAGTACACGAATAATAATAAGAAAGTGAGCTCTAATGGAATCATCTTTATCCTCATCAAAGCTTTTTTCTAACTATTTAAGGTCGGTAACATGAATCTTTTTGTCATTATGCTCCATCAAGGGCCATACCCTCAAAGAGGCCATAAGTCTTCATTATTTTTTCACTAATTCCAATCATGTCCTTTTGGGCCTACCATTTGCCCTTTTCGAGCATTCCATTTGAACCAACTAACACTTGTATGCGTTATATATGGCCAGACCACCTAAGTATATTTTCTCTCATCTTATTGCATATTAGAGCCACACCTAAGTTTTTTCAAATGTATTCATTTCAAAATTCTTCCATTTTTGTCTTGCGCTCATTCATATCAATATCCTCATCTCAGCTACACTCATCCTACGAGTATGTTGTTTCTTGATTGCTAACATTTTGCCCCAAAAAGTAAAGTTGGTTGCACAACTGTCTTATAGAACTTCCCTTTCAACTTCAATGATATGTAAGTTCCACTGTACATCTCCACTTCATCCATCCAACTCTAATTCTATGTGCGACATCTTTCTTAATCTCACAATTTTCTTGGATTATTAAATCAAGGTATCGAAAGTGCACTATTGATGGTATTTCTTGACTGCTAATCTTAACAATTTCCTTATGTCTACTCTTATTATTACTGAACTTACATTCCATATATTCTGTCTTAGTCCAGCTAATTTTAAATATTTTAGATTCTGGAGCATCCATCCAAAGTTCTAACTTTGTGTTAACGTCTGTTCGGGTCTCATCGATCAAACTATGTCGTCTACAAACAATATACACCATAGTATCTCATCTTTTAGGTGCCTATTTAAGTCGTCTACAACCAAGACAAAAAAATATGGGCTCATTGCTGACCCTTGATATATATCTATTATTATTGAAAACTCACATATCTTTCTATAAATATCCAAAAGTAAACATATGTAACATATGAAAAACAAATATTTACCAAAAGAAACAAAAGAAATATCATCAAGCAAGGGATGCTTTCCATGTTTGAAAATACTCATTAGTGGGGTGGATCATCTAATTGACATATCTGTTTCAGATCACCAATATGGATTGGTCCGAATCTACAAACCAAGAAAGTATTAAAACTTTAAAATAAAAATAAAAGAGGTGATAGGGTGGGGGCGATGGCATTACTAAACAGGAGAAAACGGTGGATTAGCTGGAAAAAAAAGAAAACAAAAAAGGCGAGAGACTTCATGTTGAGGACTAGGTCAGTACCGATTCCTTCCTAAAACCATGTCAATCCCAGTTAACTTGCAGTTTGTTACTGGCAATTTGAGATCAATCATCGAGTATTCAAACAATTCCTTGCAAAAAAATGTTCAAAAAAGAATATCTCCTAACCTAACATGTGAGCTTCCACCATCCACTGTAGCCTCCAAAGCATGACTGAGGTTTGTCACATTATGCAACAAATCTATATTCTATAAAGCCACAATATCTACATCTCTCTATTCCATAAAGCCACAATATCTACATATCTCTCTCTCTCTCTCTCAAACACACACACAAACCCCATTGTGCCCATTAGTTGTGTTTGCACCATGGTGGGACTTCTCTTAGTAGGTCCCTAGCTTGCATTTCAAGATGATGATCCATGTGATAAACTCAAGAGGAACAGCCACAACATCTAATGCAATAAATCCAACCCCCACTTCCTAACAGGGTTTAGCATTTAGAAGCCTTTGAAGATATTCACAATGCCGAGGATAATAACAACCGTGTTTCAAAAACTGTGGTAGTTTGCATTCCAACAGATGTGATATTTGTGATTCTTCCTAGGCCTCATAGATATAGGAAGAACCTGTATACGCACCGAAATGAGTACTATCGGATAGCGAGGATTCTGACTTGAAAAGATAACTTCTTGGCGAAAATTCCTTTCTGTACACTTTTTTCTTTCAAGTTCTTATATTTTCATGTTTAATGCTCTTTTTTCCCCATTGCTTTTCAATTTTCAAATGTAGAGATGGACAATAAGGCTCTTTAACTTCAGAAGCTAACGCCATGTCTAGATATCCTGATAGCCCTGTCTTAGCCTTACATTTATGGGGAATAATAAAAACAAGTCGTTATTATTGTTGTACATAAACATCTGTGTTTCAATTCTTGTTTTGTGCTGATATTGGCCAAAGAGGTTTTTTTTTATATTGGTAGTGTATTTGACAGTCTTGGTATGGTTTAGTTGGGGCCTCAGATAGTTTGTGGTGTTGGATCACTCGAGGTTAGAATTAATTTTTTCACAGTTGAGATGGTTTGTCCCTGGAAGTAGGGAGTAGAGAATTCTAGAGAGAGAAAGGAAGTTCTAAGAAGATAATTATGCCCCACACTTTTTGTTGTGGTTCTTTCATTGGATATATAATGGTACTACAATTGCGTAGTATGCACTTTCCTATCTTGTTAAATATAATATACACTTTCATATCTTCTACAATGACAATATTTTATTTTTATTACTCCCCTTCAAACTCGGCTAGGGAGGCATTTGAAGCCCGAGTTTGAAGCAAAGATCTCAAAAAACATCTCGTGGCAAATGTTTGGTGAAGATATTAGCTACTTGATTGCGAGAGGAAACAAATCGAGTGATAAGTAATCCACGAGCAATCTTTTCATGCACAAAATTAT